CAGATGGGCTTGATGTCACCCACTTCTGTTTTTGAGCATCGTCTCAAGCACCATGTCTTCCCGTTTGACAGGGGTATTACTTTATGGAAATGGATTCATGGATCGTGCTGTGCAGCAGTTCGTCTCAGGAGTTCTGTACTTGTTTCCGAATACAACCGTTTAGTTTCCGAATACCACCGGTGACGGTTTAACATGTTTCAGTCTGTTTCAGACTGAACCCTACCTGCCCCTACAAGTCAGGAGCTGACCTCATGAAATACTGGAGATGGTCATACAAAACCAATACTTAAGGAGCTCAAGTCGACCAGGTTTGGACCTGGGTCAGACTGGACGAACCTCGGGTGTTGTCGTTTCCATGGGCCGTTGACCGCACTCCCAGTCGCCGGACATGACCGACGAACGATGAGTCACCGCACTTCTTCCCGTAGTCTCCAAGACGTTGTGGTCACTGGGTATATAAGCTGACTGGTGCGACTCGTAGGGAATGAGGGTGGCTGGATGCAAAGGAATCTCTATTGGGGGCGAAACTTCCCTCATTCTCTACGAGTCGCACCAGTCAGTAAGGCTTGGTTAAAGACAGATCGTGTAAAGACATAAAGATCTGGCGACTGGTGATATACCAGGCGATGACTCTGACCCATGCTTGGTATATGGTACTGAGGATCATTTTGTGACCCAGTCGGTTTTGGGTATATCAGGCTTGGCTTCCCACTTGGCGTGACTGGATTTGCTGGCTGCTAAGCTCGGATGCTGCTGTTTTAGCCTCCCAGGACTCTCTGGTCTTCAGAAGAGCCTTCGCCCGAGGATCTGCTTTTTGGGTGGTTTCTGTTTTCCACTCACGAAAGAGGAGGGGACTGCGAGGGTCTTGACTATGCAGGTTTGGTATGCTTTTGGTGGCACATTCTTTTGGCATTGTGGCTGGACTTTTGGGCATTGAAGCCAAGCCAAGGGTGTGCAGTGGAAGCTGATGTGTTGTCGAAAACACTGGCAAATTGAGGGTCATTCGGAGGTTCCCTAGCAAACCTCAAAATGAGAGTCTTCAGTCCTTTTTCAATATCATTTTGAACTAGTCATCGGGCAATGAGTATCATTACCGCTGTCATTCCATGAAGACATCTACGTCCACAATAAAGAACAGGTCGGACGCCCGGCACCCCTCCATGACTACATGGTTGGAGACATTTATTGAGTCCTTTCCAATATTGATGTGATGAATCTAATTCATTGACTTAACATTAACATGATATTCAATTAATATATGAATGCTATGCTTAATGTATTATCAACACATGAGTCTTGTGCCTGTCGTTGCAATTATGATGCTTTGGACATTCCACTGAAAAAATGATCTTGGACCCTGAATGCAGGCAACGGACCTGGTGACTTGAGGTGAAAAACTGTCGTCCGCTGATTTCTGAAGGTACTCTACTTCGCGGAGAAACCCATGTCTTTCTGACTTGAAGGGGGGCTTTCTTCAGATAAGTGGTCCGAGAACCCCCATATCTCACCTAGGGAGAGGGGTTGGGGAGAGCAAAGCCATCGTCTCTTCAATCCCATTCACAGATGCTGGCTTCAGCCAGCAGGGGTCGAAAAGAACCCGCTTGCCCACTCAGCATCCACCGCTCAGGACCCGGACCCCAACCTCCCCCCGAACGGCGACTGGGCCGGATTCGTTGGGCCTCCGACGACTGGACCGGTGGCGTTACTGGCCATGGCAGGAGCTGAGCCTGCTGGTGTCAGGCTGCGACCGGGCTTCAGACGTCTAGCCCGGCGATTCTTCTTCCCTCGGAGATGAGATCAGATGCCTCGAAGGCTTCATTTTGGGATCATATCATGGCATTCTACAGTGTTGCTTGAAGAAGATGGACATGGGTGTTGGATACAGCTCCAGTTGGATTCCAACCCCAAAACAGGTCGAATCCACTCCGGAAATCGTTGGAATCTGTGGACCTGACCACCCAGGGTGTCTTTGGACTCCGCCCAGGCGCCCATGTGCCTGACCGCCTTCGTGTTTCTCCGTGCTTTCCACGGCCCGAGGACGTCCTCGCCCGAGCCCCGCCCACCGCCTGCCACGGCCTGTTCAGGCGGCGACGCGGATCGCGCCGAGGATCGCGGCGGAGAAGCGGAGGATCGCTGCGAGGTTCTGGCGCGAGGCCGGAAGGGGGTGCGGGATGCGAGAGGAGGGGAGAGGATGGAGAGGGAGTTTCTGAGAAGCTCTCAGATGCGAAAGAGAGGATCTTCTGACGGGAAAAAGGAATGGCAAAGGGCCCAATTAGGAGGCACAAAGCTGTTTGGCTTGGCTTCTTATGAGCTTCTCCAATCTTCAACACTGCCCAGTTCTGAAGACTTCAACAGTGGTTTAGGTGGTCGCGTCCGGCTGTGCTTCAGAGAAGTTGGCCGAAGATCGAATGAAGAAAGGTTCATGTGTCCTTCTTGATCACTTAAAGGTAGTCTGGTAAGGGCTAGCTTGATACACCTCTCATATATTCCTGGTACCTCTCTACCTTTCGTGTTTCCCTGTATCCTTCTGGATCTTGTTCCTGAGGTCCGAGAAACTCTTCAACTCGACTCGGCTGGCTTTAGGTGTCTCAATGTGTCCTACCATCTCCTACCCATTCCCAGAGGCACCTAGATTCGTGCCTGTGCAAGGTTGCACTTCAGCCATCTTTTCCCCCGCTGCGCTCTCACTGTCAGACGAACAGCTTGACCTGCCAGATGTATAGTTGCGGGCTCCGGACCACAGAAGGACCACATGGATCCCCGTTCAACCACGTCGGGTTGGTCTTCGGA